GCTCGTCCGAACTTCCTCTGCGTCTGGGGCACCTGGGCGAAGCGCGCCATGAGGGTGGTTCGGAACGTCACGTCCCTGGTTGCAAAGGTGATCCTGCGGCGCCCCTTCTGGTAGACCTTGTCCTGGCGGCAGAATAGAATGAGCTCGCACTTCTGCTCGACTGAGCACCCGTCGTATTCCGTCCACGCCGTCTGTAGGTCGGTGTGGTTCTGGGCTCCGAGACTGTCGCCGTAAGTGAGGGGCCCTTTGATGAGTCCGCCCATCGCGTGGATGTGCGGGGGCCCGAGTGTGTGTTCCTTGCCCTTGGCCTTGCTTTCGTTGGCGTAGGCGACGGTCTGTTCGCTCATCATCGCGATGAATGCGGCCGTCATCGGGGCGATGAGGGCGTCGAAGACGACTCCTGACATGTCGCGGCGCTGCTGGCTGGGCCTGAGGATCTGCTTGAGCATGCGTGCGAAGAGCTTCTTCAGCTTGTCGGGGGTCTCGGCTGCCATCTTCTGTGAGTCCTCCTTCGCGCCGCCCTCGGTCCGTATCTTCTTCCGCTCGTCGCGTCGCCCCTGCCCACCGTCGCCGCCAGAGGCTGCTGCCCCCCCCGCTCGATGCCGCCAGGGCGCCAGGCATGGTGAGATAGCGGCGGGAGGGGTCGAGGTAGATGCTCGTCTTGGAGGCGCCGAAAGAACTCTATGCTCGATTGAAAGTCTACGGACGTCGGTCACAGAGGGCATGTCCACTCGTTCTTCTGCTCTGGTTCCCAATGCATGTATGCTCTACCTACGGTGCATCTGCCATGCCCATAAGAATGTTGCAAATGTTTGCGAGCATTATGTGCGTCTTTAAATATACTCATGCAGTTAGGGCGTTGATTAGATATAGCGCCACTGTGCAATATGTACTTCATCTTGTGTCCGTTTGTCTGATGTCCCATAAGAGCCCTGTAGGTGTCGAACTGGGGGCCACATGCGTTTCCCTCGGGGTCCGTGATCATGCATGTGTATACGTTTTCGCTTTTGGCTTCGGGGCAATGTACTTCTGAAAATCGTGTGCACCATTTGTCATAATTTGTGAGCGCTGCTGCTCTTAAGATCGAGGGGTCGATGCGAGTGAATTCGTGGAACGGGTCGGAGTTGGGGTCGGATATGGTCTTCCATGAGAAACCAGCCGCTTCCCATGCCTCGAAAAAGCTCTCGGTCCCACTCACCCCCTCGTAGAGGTGCAGACTGCGATGAAACTCCTTTGCCCAAGGATTTGCGTCGATACTGAGCTGTCCGTCTGGCAACAGCGTCGGTCGCTCACTCTGTGAATGACCGAACATCGCCGCAATAGTCTGGCTGCGGGCGCGGCGGTGTTTGAGCATGCCTTGAAGCCGCCTGATCCTGCGCGCCGCCAGCTCTCCCCGAGTGGGGGGGGGGGGGGGGGGGGGTGCGAAATCTGTAGACCACCTCTGAATTCCGAAGTGTGCGAACGCGTGGCCCATTGTAGGAAGCGGCAGCACCCAGCAATACAACTCGTAGGTATTTTACAATGCAGGAGTCGATTCTTTGATATTCTGCTGGCTCAAGGACAAATGCTTCTGAACCCGTGATGCCACTTCCCGCAACTTTGCCAAGCAAGAGCTCGCGCGCGAGGCGACGCAATCCACGCTCGTGCCGAAATAGACCGATGACCGACCAGCCCGCGTGCATAGAGCGCATTCTGTGCTGCACCTCTGGAGCGTTTGAGCCGTTCATATGGCGCCGAGCCCCCAGGTGCCTGTCGCGACTTCGAACGGTGCCGCAGGACTCAGGGCATATTCCCTGAAGGCGACGGTTTTCCTTGGTGGATCCCAAACATGGTATGGTGTATTTTTTATGCATATTCTGTCGAAGACGCCATTTTTCCAGAACCTGGTTCATGTTCGAGTCGCCTTCCTGGATTGCCTCTAGAGCCCCAGAAGCCGAGGGATCTTCTAAACGTCGCCGTCGAAATAAATCATCTGCAAAACCTACCATCGAATTGTCCAGAGCTGTGTTTCCAACGACTCTTGATAGGTAAACGGGGTCCCGTCGAGCTCGGTGGTTTCATCATAACACTTGTCGAAGACGCCGACGAATTGTCGAGGTGCCTCACAGGATCCTTGGAGCCCCCCGTTCTTGCTAATAAAAGCCCCAAGCTTGTTGTCTACTTCGGTTAAAACTACGCGTTTGGTCAGGCGCTGCTTCGCGAAGCCCTGGAGATCCTCGCGCGCCATGACCTCAGCAATGTGCATGAAGAGGTCCTCAGTCGTTGGGCACAAGAATGCATTCGCCATGTCGTACAGCTCGCAAATGCGGGGGATCCTGCCTTTTCGTAAAGACCATCCTAGACGTAGTTGTACTAGTATGGCCCCCATGCCTCCTCCGATATATCAGAAAACCATGCCATCTTCCAGAAAACGATTCGTCATGCGCCTCATCTTTGCCCCCCCCCCCCAGCTATACAGTACTGAATGCCAATAGTTCCTAAACACGTCCGATAAGTGTACTATGCGTTGGCTGAACATGTTGCTCTTTCCGTTAGATTTGTCAATCAGGATCCCCCCAGTGATACTAGATTTTGTGGGCAGCTGTCCCACCTCGAAATACCGAATCCGAATATTTTCGAACTCCAGGCGTGCTCGTGTCATCTCTGCAGTGGCTGCAAGTGCGTGCTCACGCCCGTCAGGGGCTCGCTGGTCGTCGGGGTTCGCACGGCCTGGTTGAGTACTACATATTTGTGCCGGCTGAGAAGCTGGGGGAGCGACTTGTTCGTCCAGTTCTTCGTGCGGTCCCATGTGCAGGTCGAAGTCCATGCTGTCGATCTCTGCGAAGGGATCTCTCCCCCCCTCGTCGGCCGTAGTCCAGCGTAGACGTGGCCCTTCGTCATTGAGGGCGCGTTCTACGATGCGCTGAAAAACTGGGGTTGGCAGTGTGCCCATCAAAGTGATGATGTTGACCCAAACCTGGTCGCTCCTCCTGTTTCTCAGTAGTATCTGAGTGGCCGCCATACCCCGGACCAAACTTGGAATATCGTTGCTTGGGTAAATGTCCAGATTCCAGCACAATAAGAGCTAATTCCGATGGTGCACCCCACTTTGGCCCGCAACGTCTGCCACGAGCTTTTCGCAACTGCCGTGCCATTTGTCTGGCCATGACTGAGGCCGCGATCTCCATGCTGTGGCTGCGACGCTTGATCGTGACCCCCTCGTCCAGGAAGTTCTTTATCATCTCATTCATGTCAGGTATGTAGGTCGCTTCCATTCCTCCGTCTGATCCTTGTTGCGCTAGGTGTCCCTTCAGTTCGTTCAGCGATGGCTTGTGCGAAGAAATTGTATTGTAGCGCCTATTCTTCGCACCAGTTGATCGGCCAGAGAGTAATCGTGCCAGCTGGTGTACTTCAGCCTGCTGCCCTAAGGCACGTGCCTCCCGTAGCTCTTGATGGAGGCGTTCGCGGCGTGCGGCTCGGCGACGACGAGACCAGCTTCGAAGCTGGGATGGTATGCGTTTTACCCTCGCCAGGACACCCAGATACCCATCAGTAAAATCAGGGAGGTGGCCATGCGAATTCCAATACTCAGCTGCCTCGAGTCGGTGTAGTTTTCTTTGTCTTACCAGGGATAAGCGTTCTTGCTGCAATCGATGTTCTGCTGTGTCCGTAGATTTCGGTTCCAATGAAAAATGTCGGAGTCCAACCTCTTGTGCCATCTTCGCCCAGTAATCATAAAACTCATCACTGTGTTGATGTTGTGTGGCACATTCCGTGAAGAAATCAGCTTGTGCCTGCATAGCTCGTTCCAACTCCCGATGGAAATCCTCCCGTCCTATGCCCGTCTGGAGTGCCTTTGATAATTTCTGGAAGTCCCATCTTTCTTTTGGTACCAGGGGGATCGGGATGGGGATCTCGTACTTCATTTCAAGAGCCACTGGAACGTGATCTCGGGGAGTGCTCTTTGGTATGAGTTGTAGGTTTCGTCCTGTCTGCCATGCCACATTGCAATGTCTAATATCTGGTCCCAGGTCCTTTGGGATGGCGAAGACGTCCAGAGTAGCTTTGTCTCCCTGGGCTCCGTAGTAAGTAGGTCCTGAATTTGGCCAAAACGTCCCTGGTGACATACATTCGATGTCTATAAGCATATTCGAAAAATCTCTCCCGCGGGGCCATTTGGTCGAAGATGATGGGGCCCCAGGAGGTCTTGATATGTATCTACTGGTGTTCCATCTTCCCAGAGCCCAAATCCAGAATTGATGTCTAGGCCGCATATTGGGGTACTCCTCGCTCGTGTTTGTTCGAGTCGCTGTCGCATATATTTCATGACCGTCGTCGCCGCCTGTATCTGTGCTCGCTTTGTGTGTCCGCTCGCATAGATGGGGGCTATGCACATATTGCCGTAACATCTATGTTTCCAAGTTTGATTCGTACTTCGCCAAATCTGCCTGCAATACTTCGGGGGCCAGCATGTACAGCATACACATGTTGATGTTTGAGATGACGACTTAATACTATGCACACCCCTGCGCTATTATTACTGAGGGGAGCTCGTTGCCATCCAAAGTGTATTGCTACAAACTTGTTTCCAAGATTCTCGATATGATAGTCTCGGCCTGACCACTCTTTCACCCTCGTCCCTGGCAATAATATCAGGTCGCAGTTCATGGTCTCTGCGATCTCTCTCAAACGGCCTGCGGACACGAGGGAGAGGGGGTTGTAGAGGGCGACGCGCAAGATACCCACCATCAGCCTCCCGTATAGGCTCGCCAGATGCATTGGTGGCCGAGCCAGGCTGGTGAAGGTGAATGAACGCTAGGTTTCTCTGGGACCTTTGGGGTCGCTGCCGCTGCTGAATGTTGGTTCGGGAGGAAATGGCAGCTAGGAGGAGGAGGAGGCGGAGGAGGAGGAGGAGGAAGAGGAACAGGAGCAAGAAAGCGACCACAAGAAGGCCGGCCGGCTCAGCCACGAGGCCGCTTGCTGCGCGCGGGCCCCGACAGAGGGCCGCCCGAGCCCCGCGCAGCATGATGTTCTCGGGCTTGACGTCGAGGTGCACGTAGCCCCTGGCGTGCAGCCAGGCCACGGCCATCACGACTTCCTCGCGAGGCGGGCCCAGAGATCCGGCGCTTCGGGAAGAGCCTTCCTCAAAACCTTCGTAAAAGCTTCCGCAGGAGGGCTTTTTGAAAACAGCATTTGTTTTAAATAGTAACTGTCCTACTAAAACCGCCCTCAGGAGGGTTTTTGTTTGAGCGTTCGACCAAAAAGCCTTTTAGAACCTTCCGCAGGATTTTTTTTTGAACAATTTGAACGGGGTTTTCGGCAATTTTCGGTCTTCGGGGGCCCTCGCTGGGCCTCGGAACCGTCAAAGAAAAGCACGCAAAACGAACATTCGGCCCCAGGACAATGGTCTCAAACTCCGAGGCCCCCGCATCGAAGAATTTGGAACGGCTGGAAATCTGGGGGGGACACGTTCAGGAACTTTTGCTTGGCGTGTCGCCGCGACGGCCCCGGCGGCACGCTATCCTCTTCAGAGCGGTTAACGCGTCGCTCTGCTCCGCGGTGCGGGAGGCTCGGGAAGGCTTCGGACGTAAAAGCCTGGGGACGTGAAAAATGATAGCGTGTCGGCCGAAGCGTGGTGGGCCAGAACTGGCGAAGCGACACGCTATCCAAAGTACCCGACCGTATCCATATCCGCCGCTTGGGGAATCGACGTCCTGGGATCCAAGCGGGCGGTGGACTTGGATACATGTCGGCTCCAGGGCGCCCGCATATGTCAATTGATCCACCGCCCGCTGGGGCCCCCGAAGATCGACCCCTCCAGGCGGTGGTTCTGCACAACTCCCCGCCTCGCACTCATGTGGGGGGGGGCTCCAGGGCTGTGGACGGACAACATGTTGCACCGCTCTGAGCTTGCCTTCGCGTGCATGCTTCTGTATTCTTCTCCCCTTCCCCCATTGTCGTGCACTGGCGGCAAGGGTGAAAGAACTGTGGGGATTTCCCGGACGATCGACCGAGCTGCTTCGGCGACCCTGGACCGTGGCCACCATTACGTTGGGGGCAAGCAGTAAGGAACAACAAGCACCAATAACAAACGCGATGCCACTATCTTACGCGGCGGGGGGTGCAACATCTTATCCGTGTGCCAGAACTGTGGATGGACCCCGTGCGACCAGCCCCACATGTTGGCATCTTCTCGGGGCGCACCTTTGGCTTCCGCGTGCTCTCCGCCGATGCCGCCCCCATCGATCCCTTAAAAGCAAGGACCTCTCGGGAGCCCGTCATGCGAAACTCTACAGCGGGCTCCGTTGCTTGCTGGTAAACTGGAAAGGGTGTTATCGGAAAGTTCCCCTGCTTGCTGGACAGCTGGAGGGGCGCTGCAGTTATCGCGTTGCCATCAGGGCAGCAGAATCAGTAGCACAAAGTGGCTCTTCTGGTCACAGCGAGCCTCGGCTACGCATGGGCCCCGAGACCTGAACCCGAGAAACCGCCCGACACCCAGCGCCCCTCACGAACCAATTGTTTTCCGTTTTTTCCGCGCCGTGACTGCATCGGAAGGAACCTCTGCCACACAACTGGCCCCCCGCACAGCGTCGCCCCCAAACGCCCGCTGGCCATGGGAACTCTGGCGGGGAATGTCGTGCGCTCAGCGCGCTTTTAGTATGCCATCCCCTGGGTTCGGAACAGCTCTTGCCCGAGCGTTTCGTTGGATCGAGCCCTCCCACCCTCCCGTCCTCCTCTCTCCCTGCTTCCCCTCCTCGCCCGCGGCCTGGCGCACCGCGTCCACGAGTGAGTCTCTAGAGCAGACAGAGGAACGCTGCCCGCGCCCGGGGCAGAAGAGCAGTGGTCTGCTCAGGTGTCAAGGGCCCTAGGCGTTGTCTGGGGCCAGCAGCCGCGCGCGCATGACCAGTGGGGCACGACGGGAAAATAAAAATGCTCAACATTTACTGGTCTCGCATCGAGACCAATGCGGGCAGCAGGAGATGATTGGGGAGTGGCGCGGAGGATGCGGGCACATAGAGAGACATATAGAGGGAGAGAGAGAGAGAGAGAGAGAGAGAGAGAGAGAGAGAGAGAGAGAGATAGAGAGAGGGAGAGAACAAACAACAAAAACACAGAAAGAGATATATATATAGAGAGAGCGCGAGAGAGAGAGAGAGAGAGAGAGAGAGAGAGAGAGAGAGAGAGAGAGAGAGAGAGAGAGAGAGAACGAGAGAGAGAGAGAGAGAAAAAACAATACAGCAACAACATGAACCACACGAAGATATACAAAGAGATAGAGAGATACATAACGAGGAAAATGAATAGAAAGGGAGACATGGAGAAATAGGGATATATAGAGAGATAGAGAGATAGAAAGAGAGAGGGGAAGAGAGAGGGAGAGAGAGAGATATACATAGAGAGAGAGAGAGAGAAAGAGAGAGAGAGAGAGAGAGAGATGAAAGAGAGAGAGAGAAAACAATATAGAGATAAAGCAACACAGACGAGAACATATGCACAAACAGAGACGGGGCAAACGAGATAATGGGATATATAAAGTCGCGGGCGCCCCGCGCAGAACAAACAAGACATCTCGCCTGGGAGCTCTGGGCCCTAGTCTCTGCGGCCCAAACCCCAGCTGGAGTTCTGGTGCGTGCAGATGCCTGGGCGGGGGGGGAGGGCTGGCGCGCGCCGCTTGTACCTGGGGCCACTCGGCGTCGCGGATCTCGACACTGTGATCGAAGAACAAGGAAAGAATACGAGAAGCACGAGAAGCTGAAAAGTCCGCGGGGGCCAAGGCGCGGGGAACCGACGCAGCAAGCTCCCTTTCGATGCGGGGTCGGGGATGCATGGGGAGCAGCGGGAGGGCTCAGCGCAGTAAGGTGTGGGGGGGGGGGGGGGGGGGGGGACGGATATCTACTCGAGCTTGTCTGCCCGCATTTCGCACTCTCCCGTCCGTCGGGGATCCTCCGGCCGCGTCGTCTAGATTCCCGGCGCAGCTCGATTCGCGCCAGAAGGATGGGGGGGGCACCGCGGGGGGCGATAGCGATTGGTTGGTGCCCGAATGCATGTTTTTGCAGCGCTGTCAACCGCGGGCGCCCGCCTTGGACTGTTGCCAGAGCGGCGCGCGTGAGACGCAAGACAAGCGTTCTCAACCTGCGGGAAAGGCGGGCCACCCCAGCCCATCAGGGCAAGCATGCAATTTCGTGGGAGGCCCGCAGTGCGGAGTCTTGCGCGCGCGAGCGAGCATGGTATGCTCTTTTCGGCGCGAGACGGCTGACGTCGGGGGCTTCCTAAATTGTACAACGTGCGACAGGGCTGGGGCTGCGCGGCGAGCATGCGGAGCAGCGCTGACTACCGTTGGCGCAAGGGCAGCTGCAATCTGCAATGCGCTGCGCGAGCGGGGGGCCCGTGAATCGCCGCGCGCCGCAGGCCCCGGGCGAAGTCCAATATAGACAAGAGAAAGAATAAACTGGAAGTCGCTCCAGCGCGGGAGGCGCCCCCGAAGCCGACTGCGATGTCGCTCTGCCAGCGCCTCCTAGAAAAGGGCCTTCAAGCGACATTAAACTGCATTTCTGGGGCTTGAGTCTGAGGGCGGCAAAGCGCTCTGCCGCTGAAAACATGTCTTCAAGCACTGGCAGCGAGGCTCGCTCAAAGGCTACTGCGCCCAAGTCGTCTGCGCATCCGCGGGCCGCTCCTTTTTTTTTCGGTTGCTCGAACTGCTCCGCCAAGAAAACCGGCATGGGTGCGTGGCCCTGGCAAATAGGGTGCCTGAGGCTGGGCGGCCTTGCACAATCCCAGACTGGATAGGGCAAAGATGGATAAGAGACGCCTGGGCCTGGCCAGCGCCTTGAATGTTAAAGTAAAGAAAGGGAACGAAGGCGATCAGAGGGGCGGGGGGGGGGGGGGGTCAGGCGCCCAAGAATGAGCCATTGGTGAGCAGCGGAGGGGGAACCGCTACCAAAATCGTAGCTGAGAGTGGCAGGGGGAAAGCGGGGCGCCGACTCAGGAAGGGAAGCGACGCTGGCTTTCGCATCTAATTCGATGGTGTCCAGGCCATGGTTCCTGGAGCTTGCGAAGCCCCTCTGCCCTCTGGCCCAGGTGCACGCACTGGTCACAATTTTGCAATCGCAGCTCGCGGGGCCCATGGGGTCGCGTTTGGAGTGGACCTCGGCGCGCAGAACCGTCGCCCTCAGCGCGATCGCTTTTGGGAATGAAAACGCTGCAAACAATGCCCAAATCGGGAAGCACGCAGCGCCCCTCCAAACGTCGCCATATTGACTGGGGCAGAATTGCACTGCCTGCAAGATGCCTGGCCCATGCGGCATGAGAGGGAGTCCGTCTGTCCCTGGTGAGCGGCGTTTTGCACGTCGGATGCATCTCTCTACGCTCAACTTCGCGGGTGGGCTGGGGAGGGGCGCGGGGGGGTCCTCAGGTCGGCTTTCGGGGCGTATCTCTCCAAGTATTCTCTGGCGGCGTCGGTATCTATGTTTTTCGCTGCAAAGCCCGGGGCCCGTCCGTCGCCCGGCGCGCGGAGTCTCTCCCCGGCCCTCGTGCATGGCGTCATCTTGTTTAACGCCTCGGAGAACCGTTCTGGGATCCAGGGGCCCCCGCAATTTGGCTCGTCGCGGGGGGCAGCGCGTTCTGCGACGCTGTCTGGCCAGAACTGCAGGCGGAGCATCTGGGCCAGCTTCTTGTCGCACTCCTGCGACTGCGCGGTGGGCGGCGGCAAGCTGGGCCTCGTTGGCGCGCAGTGGGGGCGCGCGGCACGTCCACGCCCGCGCGCTGGGAAGCCAGAGGGCGAGACCGAAGAAGACGGCTCGCCAGGCGAAGGCCCCGATTCCAATGGGTCCTGGATGTGGATTTCAGCGCGACGAGGACGGCCAGGGGGGGTGTCTGGATGTGATCGGGATGTCTCTCGCGCGCTGTGCTGCAGCTCTCATCGGCCTCTTGTTCAACTCGAGCAAAGGCGGCGGAGTGGGTCCCGAGATGTCGGCCTGATCGCGGGCAACTCCGGCCGGTTGAAAATCCCCCCGGGCATGTTTTGCTCATCTGGGTCCGCGGGGTCCTCAGATTGCCGAGACTGCCGCGTGCCGAGAAGCGCTGCTTGACTTGTTTTTT